CGCCCTCCTCCTCCTCTTCTGCTCCTCCTCCTTACTCCTCCTCCTCCTCCTCCTCCTCCTCCTCCTCCTCTCCTCCTCCCTCCTCCTCCTCCTCCTCCTCCTCCTCCTCCTCCTCCTCCTCCTCCTCCTCGCCCTCCTCCTCCTCCTCCTCCTCCTCCTCCTCCGCCTCCTCCCTTCCTCCTCCTCCTCCTCCTCCTCCTCCTCCTCCTCCTCCTCCTCCTCTTCTTCCTCCTCCTCCTCCTCCTCCTCCTCCTCCTTTGGTGTGGTATGGATTTAGCATCCCGCCAAGGGAACTGCACGGTTTCCCCCTTTCGGGCGTGGTGGGCCGGCAAGGTTTTTTTTTGTTGGGGGGCCAGACCCTGTTCGCGCGCGCTGGGCCCGGCGTTCTGGGCATGGTGGCGTAGATGGGGACACCCGTGCCAGTCGAGCGGCCTCCTCGGTCCAGTGGGGGAGGATGAGGAAGGGGAGACTCGGATCGGATCGGTTCGGCACTCCGCGAGAACACACATATATATATATATATGTGTGTACATGTAGCTGTTATACACACGTATGTACACATACATATACGCACAGCTGTGATAATATATATATATATAGATATAAATGTATGCGTGGTCGCCCCCAAAAACCCCCAATCACCAACATGAACAACAAGTCATTGATCGTTTTCTCCTCCTCATCCTGCTATGTTTCTCCTCCTCCTCCTCCTCCTCCTCATGTTCCTTCTCCTTTCGTGGGGGGATGAAAATGATCATGTGCTCTTTCTTACTGGTCAGATCTTCTGTTTTCTTCTGATCGCTGGCAGAGATTGGCCAATTTCTCGCAATCTCGGCCAGAGAACACAAACATCACGAAAAAAACTGAAAACCTGACAAACACAGCGCTTGTGACATGTTTTGTTTACGCTTGTTTTTTCTGGTATTTCTGATGTGTCTGATCTCTGGCACGGATTGGCCAAGTTCTCGCAGTCTCTGCCACAAATCAAAACATCAGAAACATTAAACAACACACAACGTTTTTCCTCCTCCTCCTCCTTCTCCTCCTCCTCCCTCTCCTCTTCCTCCCCTTCGCATTCCTCCTCCCCTCCTTCTCCTCCGCTTCAGAAAACAAGCACAGTGCTTTCAATGTTTCCTACCTCTCTCTGCTACAACTTATCACGTTGCTCACGCGATTGCCGTTTTCCCTCTGTGTTCTCTCTCCACTACACTACACTGCCACGCCAAGCAGCAGCAACGGTGAAGACGAGTGTTGTATTGCGCAAGCAATAAAACTACTATTCGTATCCGCGCACGTCTCGCTTGGGCACTCTCGGCACGCTGGCCCCGCCTCTCGCGGCGCAAAAAAAAAACGGAACTATGTATACTACGTGGGTCACGCTCGGCAAGCAAAGGCGGACTGCGCATCAGTGCGCGCATCAGTGCAGCAGATACTACTGCGCTCGGTTCAGTCAGAGTATGATGCCCCGCCCACTGGCGAGAAGAGGTCGTCGCCGCCCGAAGCGGAGTCTGGCGGGCGCGCTGGGGGGCCCAAGTCAAGGCGTGCGCCGCGGGCTGCCCCCCCATTGTCGAAGATGCTTTCCCTCATCACCCGAGTGGCCCTTTCGCGCTCCTCATCGTCCATTGCGGACGCGCCGGGGCAACGCAAGCGCTTGACGCCGCGTTTCGCTGCTCTCGGAGGTGGCGAGGAGATGTCGATCTCCTGGCCGAGAAAAACAACAGCGCGATCCCAGAGGCTCGACGGCCAAGTGCTCATCGACGTCGCGCTCATCTTCGGGCACTGGGCGCGCGGCGTCAGTCGCCTGACCAGCGCGCGCGCGAGAACCCATCGCTTCCTTGCCTGTCGCTCGGCGGCTGCGTGGCAATGTCTGGGGAGCTGTATCTCGCAGGCGCGCCCGCGTTGAACAGCGCTGGACCGCGGACCGTCGATGAACGACCAATCTCCTCGCCCCGAGCTAAGTCCTTCATCGCGGCAACAGCCCATCTCATGTGCTGGTCGTGCCCAATGAGTTGCAAGCCTGGTCTTTCGTGGAGGCTCTGATGATGGCGGTCGTCTCGGGCGTGAAAAGATCCGGCTTCGCGGGCGCTGGCCGCGGGAAGCGTGGGATTGGGCCCTCCGACGCGGAGGCCAACCACAAGTATGCCCAGCTCTGCGTGAGAAGCACGACGTTGGACCTCACCATGTACGCCTCCACGTCTGCCATTATGTAGCCGCCTTGCTTTTTGCCGACAGAATGGCAATCGATGCTCTCGAGGAAGTCAAAGAACGAAACCTCTTCCTTATCCCTGCTGGCGGAACAGACCGTCGCCTCGAACTCGTCGTTGCGCGGGTTGACGCAGACTTGACGGAACTGGTTCTGCTTGAAAGAGGCGCCGCCCCACCTGCGCAACACGCGGGGAACCACCAACGCCGACTCGCCTCTGCAAAACTTGCGAGGACCATTTTAGATGCGTTTAAACAAATTCGCCCCCGATACAGGCGTTTCACCGCGCGCGGCCACCGCGCCCGAAGCAGCGCCTCTTCCTCGGCAGGGTCGAGGAACGCCTTGATCTCGTCGGGGCCCCACTTGGTGAGCGCGGTGTCGTCTGCGATGGCGGGCTCGAACTTGCCCCCAGGCTCCGGCCGCAGGAAGTCAATCTTCCTCGCCGTGGCGGCGCTCGGGCGGAGGTCAGCCCGGCGGTGCTTCTTTATCTGGTAGGCCGAAACAACGAAGCCGATAGTCGTGGATGCCGTGGGTTTGCCGACCCTGGTCTTTCCGATCCACGTGGCCCCGTGGACGGCGCAGCTCTTGGGACTGGGGGCGACGATGCGGTCGAACAAGAACGGCTCGAACAGCTTGGGTGTCCAAAACAGCAAGGTGAGCAGGGAAGCGTTGGTAAGCTCCTGGCCCCATGTCCGCACGCAACTTTTCAGCCCCTTGTGCTTCGCCGCTTCGGCCTTGCGCAAGGCCTTGTTCTAAGCGGAGAAGCCCTTGCTCCTGGTCGCCCAATCCCGCACTTGTGAGCGGGTGTGCGGGATATGCTGACATTGACTTGTCGGTTGCACCCTTTACCTGGGCGCGGGTGTCTGGCTGTTCCGTTCTGCGCGTGGGCCAGTGATTTCCCATCTGCACATTTTGGCGCAAAGGAGCTTTGACCTTTAACCCCGCCTCGAAGGCGGAGTGGAAGGCGGGGAAGAGCTCTTCACGCTTGGCGTCCAAGCGCGCAAGCTTGCGGCGCTTTTTGCTGGCGGCATTATACTCACGGCGGTTTTTGCTCTTGAGAGCGCCGTGCTTCTTAGGGGCCTGTCCCTGCCCTTGGGCATGTCTGCGCTGCTCGAAACTGCGCGCCGCTAGAGGCAACATCGGAAGGATGAGGATGACGGGAAGAGGAATAAGATGCTGCCGCGGCGTGGAAACGTCCTCCTCCTCCTCCGCCTGCTCCTCCTTCTTCTCCGTTGCCGCACTCCTCCTAAATTAAATGAGGATCAGCAGGAGAGAAGGAGGAGGATAATAAAGAAAAGCATGAAGAAGAGAACGAACAACAAAAGTGAGAGCAGGAAGGAGAGGAGGAGGAGGAGGAGGAGGAAAAATAATAGGAGGAGGAGGAGGATGAGAGGGAGGATGAGGGGGTGAGGAAGAAGTAGGGGAGAAGGAAAGACAGGAAGAAGAGGAGGAACACTGGCCGATTAGAGTGCAATCGATTGGATTGCGATCGATTGGCTTGCAATCGATTGGGTTACAATCGGCTGGATTGCAATCGTTTGACTTGCAGTCGGCTGAGACGACTGGCTGAATAGCAAAAGAAGGAAGAACAGCATGAAGAGCAAGAAGAACCGGATGATGCATCCCCCATCACCCCAATCCGTCGTTTAGGGGTGCTGGGGGGCAGGAGGGGAACGAGCATATATATATATATGCATACACACATTCATACATATATATATATATATGTATATGCATATATACATATATGTGTATATGTCAAATTAAAATACATAGATGTATGTGTGCGTGTGTTCGTGTGTCTGTATGTGTATGTGTTTGTGTGTGTGTGTGTGTGCGTGTGCGTGTGCGTGTGCGTGTGCGTGTGCGTGTGTGTGTGTGTGTGTGTGTCGGGCCGTCTTTCATTCCGCGGCTGGATTCGTTTGTCTGCCTGGTCTCGGCGCTCCCCACCGTTGCCGACGTCGGGGTGCCTTCCCGTCGGAGCGGGTCGAGGCTCTGGGCGCTCGTCTCTCTCCCCCTACCGCCGTCATTCTTGGGCCGCTCCCGTACTGCTCTGTACCGCTCAGGGCTGCGCGGTGCCATCACCTGCCTTCCGCCCCTCCCTGCCCGCGCCTCGCAAACCCACAGGTCTCGGCGCTTCGGCTCATCCTTGGACCGTGCCTTGGTCCACTGGGCTGGGCTCTGCCTCTTTGGCTTCAGCTACTGTTTAGTGCCGCTCGGCACCAGCTTCAGCCTTGTCCAGCTCAGTGATGCCCAGAACCTGCCCATGTGCCTGCTTGCGGCGCGGCGTCCGCAGCCGGGGCTGCCCAGCCATGCCTCTCCACCTTCCGTCTCTTCGCAAACGTCTCGGGGGCCCGCAGGTCTCGGCGCACTGGCCCATCCTGGACTGTGCTCGGTCCACAGCAGTCGTTCTCTGCCCAGCCGCCGACGCAAAAAGTATGTGTGTGCTGTGTGTTTGTGTTTGTGTATAAGCGTATGTATGTATGTATGGATGTATGTATGTATGTACGTATGTTTGTATGTATGTATGTATGTATGTATGTATGTATGTATGTATGTGTGTATGTGGGTAGGTAGGTAGGTAGGTAGGTAGGTAGGTAGGTCGGTAGGTAGGTAGGCAGGTATGTATGTATGTATGTATGTATGTATGTATGTATGTATGTATGTATGTATGTGTGTTCTCACGTACGTTTGTACATGCATATACAAACATAAATATAGATCTACATGCATGTGTAACTGTACATGTACATGCATATGCATATGTATATAGATATGTAAATGTGTATGTGTGTATGTGTGTATGTGTGTATGTGTGTGTATGTGTGTACATGCGTGTATGTATGTATGTATGTGTGTATGAGTGTATGCGTGTATGAGTGTATGTGTATGTGTATGTGCATGTGTATGTGTAGGTGTAGGTGTATGTGTATGTGTGTGGTGTGTGTGCTGTGTGGTGTGGTGTGCTGTGTGTTGTGTGTTGTGTGTTGTGTGTTGTGTGTTGTGTGTTGTGTGTTGTGTGTGTTGTGTGTTGTGTGTTGTGTGTTGTGTGTGTGTTGTGTGTGTTGTGTGTGTGTTGTGTGAATCCCAGCCCTGGCCCCGAAGGAGGAGGATGAGGGATGAGGAGGAGGAGGAGGAGGAGGAGGAGGAGGAAGAGGAGGAGGAGGAGGAGAAGGAGCACCAGGAGGAGGAGGAGCCAACGTCGCAAAAGGAGGAAGGTCAGCGTCGGATGCGTAGGCGGAGGAGGTGGCGGAGGAAGAAGAGGAGACGCCCAGCGTCGCATGTGGAGGAGGAGGCGGAGAAGCGATCCTTAAACGCCGACCTGCGACTGCATCGGAGGTGACGTCGGGCTCCAGCTTTGCATCCCACATCTCGCCGAGCAGCGATAGAGCCTGCTGCCACTGCTCGCCCTTCTCGCACGCGCTGGCTACAACATTGTAGGTGACCAGGGCAAACCCGTAGACAAGCATCCACTGTGGACGCGCGGGTCAAGCAGGAAGCCAGGAGGCGGCTCTGGCTGGAGCTGGGGCAACACAATCCGCCAACCCCCGCTTGCCCGGGGTGAGAAGACGTGTGAGAGCTTTGGCTGTCCCCCTGTCCGTTTCCCCCTCGCCAGGGGTCCCAAACCCTGCTTGAGGGGCCCTCGGGAACTCGTCAACGCATCTCTGGGGCTTTCATAGCGTCCAAATCTGCTATCCAGAGCCTCTATGTTGCTCAAGGTGCCTTCCAAGACGGCTCCAGGATGGCTCCAACACGCCCACGAGATCCCAAAAGGAACACGAGAGGTCCTAAGAGACCCCAAGAAGACCGAAAGAGGTTCCCAAAAGGAACAAACACCCCGCATCATCGACCACCATAGAAACGGAATCTAAAGATTTCGGCGCATCGCGTCCACACGCCTCCGGAAACGTCCTGGAAGCTTCCGGAAGGCCCTAGGGCAGCCTAACATGACCCCACATGTGGCCCCATACGCTCCCAGCTGGACTCCCAAGGAACTAAACATGGGGGGCCAAAACAACCTCAGCACAGCCCCAAGACTGAACCCACGCGGCCCCGAGACCATCCAAAACGACTCCGAGACCCCAGAAGTGGCGCCAAGATGGCCCCTAAGAGGCCTCAAAAGAGTCCCACAGGGCCCCAACACACACACACACACACACACACACACACACACACACACACACACACACACGCACACACGCACACACGCATACACGCACACACGCACACACGCACACACGCACACACGCACACACGCACACACGCACACACGCACACACGCATACACGCACACAGGGAAACATACGACACGCACACACGCACACACGCACACACGCACATACGCACACACGCACACACGCACACACGCACACACACATACGCACACACACGCAA